ATATTACATCCTACATTATAGTTCCCAGTTATCAAATTATAAGACTGAAATTCAACAAAACCAAATCTTCTGAAGAAACGTACTATTTTGAGTGATTACAATTTTAATATTCATTGTTATTCGTTTTAATCAGAATAAAAAATTCATTGCTAAAAACATATAAAAATAGCAATCAATTATTATGTGATATTTCATCTAATGTTATTAATTAAGGACACTTAGATTTTAAGAAAAATATAATAAAACATCATAAAAACTATTTAGAACCTTTTATTATATTTTTTATGATCATTGGTATTAGCATATAACGAAAACTATTCTAAACAGTTTACATGAAAGTCGTCTTCATCTTTATAACTGCATTTCCAAAAAGATATTACAAAAATTATTATATATAGCATATCAAGGGTTACGATTGTCTTCAGAGGTATTTCTGTTCAATATGGAATGAATTATATGAACAATTTTGAGAGTAGTTTGTTATGTGATGTTCAGTATTTGTTGATCTTAAACAATTTTACGTTGTTATATATGCAATTGAATACATCTCTATCTTCTATTCTCTTTCTTCAGTAATTGGGAAAACAAATACATACATATACTGACTTTAAGCACTGCATACTAGGTTATTTTACCACGGAAATACTTGAACTAATCTGACCGTAACAATTAACGTTTGATAAACCCCTGAGATATGTTTTGAGGAACGGTTTTGAAAATTTCATTTTAATTTAGTAGGTATAAAATGTTAATATATTATATTGCTTCATATCTCTTTATTCAATTTCACTTATTGCAATAATCATTCAATTTATGGGTACTAGGTTATGTTAGGCCCACTTAAGTAAAGCTGAACCAAACCAAAAGAGTTCGTCTGCCTAAACTTGTTTGACAATATTCAGACATTTTTTGTTTGATTGCCAGTTTAACTTCTGGTAGTGAGACACCAATATGTGAGTAGGGCGATTCCTTACTAATGTCAGAGAGTGAATTGTTTGCCTTGGTAAGTTCGTCTGCTCTACAGTTACTCGAGATATCCCTGTGCTCTGTATGAATCCTATCTTTCTAGTGATTCCCTGAAAACTCTTTGCGGAGGTATATTTAGCAATACATATTACGTTTTCATATTACGCGATTTCAATCCCCCATATTACAAAGGTATTCCCAAATATAGCACGGGTATTTGTACAGTTCATAATTAGCTTCGCATACCTTTACATGTGTGTATACGGATTATACGGGAACAGTCGGGAGAAAGAGCTGGAGCAGTAGAAAAAAAGTTAGTGAAATGATCACATGGATGGTATATCATACAATTTTGTATAACAAAAAATAGATTTACTGGCATTGTGATTTCAGGAATTTTTTTATATAATTAAATTAAAATTACTAAAGTTATGCAGTATAAATTATAAATAAACACTGAAAAAAATCAAAAAATTTTATTAAAATCTAAATATTAAATCTGCAACAAACTTTAAGTGAAAAAAAAACTTTCCAAAAAATTAAATCAGCAAACTTTGTAAAAAGTTTATATAAAAAAAGACTTGTTTTGAACTAAACACCAAATAAAAATTAATTTATAATTAATCAGAATAGAGCAACGCCTTAAAAAAAATCATCTGAGAATCTGGATTCTGTGTTTTCATGAGGCATCCTATAAACTAAAAAAATTCCAAGTAAAATACTGTACAAAACTTATGAAAGAACTGTATATTATCTCGAAGCGCCAAACCCTGCATAAAAAAATTCTTTCTCAGAACACGTCCTCAAAATTTTCATTTTTTATATTTTATTTAGGCTCAGTTTTAAATTTTACTGAGAAATAAAAATTTTCAGGAACTCATGGTTTTTTAAAATTTTTTAATATTTTTTTTCTCCCGTAAAACTCTTCACGTACATGCGTACTATATTTCCATGGAATGAATTTTCAAAGAATATAGAAAAAAAATATTCCTATATAATATTTTTGATTTCGATTAGAAATAAAATTCTACATAAAACCCAAAAGTTTCACAACAATATTGTTCTTAAAAGTACTTTTAAAAATTAATTTATGCTTAACACGTTTTTTCAGTAAAAAAAAGGAACATGTGATACAAATTTTTCTTTTTTAGTTTTGATTCAAATTAACCAATAAATTCTACTTAAAAAATAAATAATTCCAGTGTGATATTCCTTTTAGAAGTAATTGAAAAAAATTAATATATCAGGCGTCCTTCACGTTACTCATACGCACCTCAACACCATTAAAACAATTTTCCAAAATGGTATCCTTTCGTCAAGAGCTGGTAGACACGTATTGTAGGAGATATCACTGTGTAGGCCAAGTCTAGATGTTCATAGATAGACATATTAATAGGAAATATATATGTTTACCAAGATGACTGGAGTCTTCCTCATTGTGATACAAGTATTTTCACAAACAAAATATATCACTTTACAGTTCTTATGAAAAGGGTATAATTAGAACTGTTGACTCGAAACAACATATTACTTTCAAAACCTTTAAATGGATATTCTTTTGCATACTTTTCGCAAATAGTAAATCTTTCTTGGGTTAAGCCAGAAAATACTTAAAGGTTTTCTAATTTACGAATTGAATAATAATAACTCAAGATAATACTTTTATTCCGAAAGTTAAATTTGAAAAGAGTTCCTATGGTAATTATAAATATGACATATACTCTGCAATATTTTTCGATGTTATTTTGAGTTATTGACTTTTTTAAAACTGAAGAAATTAACATTAAATTTAATTCACTCTTTAGACTTTATTATTTTTATTATTATTGTTATAAAAGACAAAAGTGAACTGTTACCTAAAATACTTCTTATGTTCTCCCTGCTCCTGAAATATATTAACAGTTGGTGTGGCTCTCGTGATAGCCTGCTACGTGCAATCATTAAGAAAACTCGAATACCGTTTTTCGTATAAACCACACAACTATAAAATTACCGGGAATAATTGGTTCCATAACCATGTTGATGATTAAAGTTTGTCATTTATATTCAAAGCGAAAGTTAAAATTGTATCTTTGAACTTGAATCCACATATCAGATATGCTGACGAACTCTGTTTTTATCTTTGCAATCTAAGAAAAACTGAAGATATCAATGATAATCTGGCTATATGCAATATTCTTGGTGAAATTATAACTTACCATTATATGCCTTCTCGAACAGCATATATATATTGTTTTTGAATACTTAATGTCCCATAAAACGGTTCGAATTTTTTGAACGAAGTGAGTATATCCAACTTCACAGCCCTGTTAAATGTATTAAATATAAGATTCTTGCGATCACATCTTACTCGAATTTGGTGGTCCTGGATTGGAGAGATTTTGTAACTACCTAGCTATTTCTTATTGAGTTTTTAGAAATTTGTAGATCAGATTTCAATGACATGCCTACTTAAAAAGTGTGGGATAAATTTTTATTGCAGTCCCAATATTAAGTTTGTGTCCTAGAATATTGGAATCACTTTTTAGTATTCGAGTTTTGATTAATTAGTGAGCCTATGGAGATAACTTTATAAGTGATAACAGGCTTTGTCATGGTTTAATATAACGAAAAGTTTAGGCTTGAGATAATTTTCCAGGTTTTGTCGTAGAAACGTTGAGAGACTATTATACATTTTATTGCTTTGTTGATCGTCTTCTTTAGAAGTTTGTTCCATTCGAGTTTTTTATCAAATGCAAGTCTGAAGAAATCTCAATTAGTTGGTTAGTGAAAAGATCTTTTATTCAAAATTGTATATGTAGGCATGGTTTTCACTGAATTTCAAGCATTTTTTTCGTTTTACCACTTTATTGTTGGCATATATTCCAATCACATAATATCATAACCATAGAATTAAAACGAGAACTGAAAGCTGGCGCATGTTACTTTTTGACCTTTGAATTAAGTTGCTCAAATCACGTCACCTTCAAATGAAATCCCCTGTCAGTACTATTTAGTTTACTATACATAAATTTAAAAATAATTTAAATCTATTAATATTTATTCACTTCTTTATACTACCATAAAATCTGATACAGGGCATTGACTATATAGGGATTTATGTATGCGAGTATGTCTTCTGAAAATATTAACACATATACTTGATTTTCAACTATCTTCAAGTCTGTAACAAATTAAGACCAACTACGGATGACGATGACTTAAAAGACGCAAAGGAAACATAACATAGATGAAATTATTTACAGGATGCAACCTGCAGACCACTGTCTTACTTTTTGTCTATCAGTATTTGCCTTATAAAATTCGTTCAATTAAAAGCTAATGAGAATTATAATATAATATAATATATTATCTGTTTACTTTATTAAAGGTGTTTTCACTTTTAATTTTCACTTTAAAATATTGGTATAGTTTAGTTTTTGTCATGTTTTTTCGGTTCATCTCGACCAATTCAAAGCTAATGAGAATTATAATATAATATAATATGTGTTTACTTTATTAAAGGTGTTTTCTAGACGGCGAAGAGTGAAAATTTTTTTTAACTTTAAATTAAAAAAAAATATTGGTTTCGTTTGGTTTTTGTTGAGTCTTTTCGGTTAATTTCGACCAATTGAAAGCTAATGAGAATTATAATATTATATGTGCTCAAGTTCAGTGATCAAGTGATCGGTTCAGCTGCAAGTGATTTTCGCTTCCTTCTATTTTTAAGCAGACATAAATATTTTGTTATTTAATTGTAATTCTTATGTTGCAATAAACAAGTATATAATTTATTATAGCGACAACTTTTTTCATATTATATTTATTTAAATTTAGATATAGTTTTAAAACGATGATAAGCGTAAATAGATGTATTTCAAGCGTCAGTGTGAAAGCATTATAATAAGATAAATTTAATAAACCAATAATTTGTAATTTTAAAAATACAATCTAGTAGGCAAAATTATTATATTTTAAACATTTTTTGCTTATACAAAATTAAAACAAATTATTTTTTTCTCACATTATATTTAATTAAAATATGTTTCAAAAAATTTTCGCTCTACAATTGAAGAGAAATTCAAAATTTTTATTTGTATCCTGAAGACGTAGCAATTTTTTAATAGAAGTATATTTAAACATGGAGTACCCAATATATGAACAAAATTACTACGCTCAAAACAATATGCGGACTTTACTTCTGATTGTTGTTCCTCAACATAGGGCGATCACGAAGCAGACCATAATCAAAAGAATAGCCATTGCCTTAGGAGTAAGTAGACGTAAATATATGGTATTATTTCATAAAGTAAATTAAAATCAATAGATTTTAAACGATTGAGATTTTGTATATATTTACAAAATGTTTAACGCGCTCATAAATTGGATTTATTTCAAAAAAATGCTTATAAAAAAGTTGTCAAAAGATTCTTTTTAAGTTAAATTTTGGAATATTTTGACAAAAGAAAATGATTTTATATATTAAATAGAATGGAAATCATGAGATATTTTTAGATTTAGATTAAAGTAAGGTAAAGTGTATATAAAGGACCATCTCATGAAACTGTTTCCAGGAGCATAAGTTGGTGCGCATACAGTGATTTTATATATCCGTTTTGCAGATAATCTATGTAAAATATTAACTCTAAGATTCACGAAAATCTAGACTTGTTCTTGTAAGTTAGCTTGATCTGCATACTGCTCGTAAGAGAAATTATCATTTTTGCAACGAAATGTGGATGTGATAATTGATTAATATAACTTCAAGGTTTATAATTTAATAATAGAGAATTTTTCACAACAGGTGGAGAATCCAGAAGAAAATCAATAATATTTTGTATATCTGGGAAGTTTTAAACGACTTTAAACTTTGTAAAAGTTTCGACCTCATTAGAAATAGTGCATCTGTTTCATTGGTGATTTTTTATAAAATGGAAAAATGAGTCAATTGGTTAATTAACACTGACTCTGAGCTTTAAATTCGACAGGGCACGAGCTTAACGCTTAGGTCTTGCGGTGTCAAAAAAATTATTTACAAATAATTTAGTATAAGAGATAATTTCATTATTACTGATGATGGGTATTTGACAATTCGAAACAGTTGTATGGTCAGTTAAAAATTCAATTAATTAAAGTAATTTAAAAAGAAGTTTTGTTGTTGTAGTTCACTACTGTTCGAAACCTCTTGTAATACTGAGATCGTCGAAAAATCAAATATGAATCAGTTACCATTAATTAAAAATTAAATTTTTTTATTTAATTATCTGTAATAGTTTTTTATATATTACTTTATTTAAAATTAAAAATAAAAGTTATTTATTTAAATAGATTTCAAAGATCTATACTATGCACTAAGATTTTAAAAAATGTGTTTTTATTTATAAAAATAAAAAGTACAGATTAGATTTTAGAAACTATTGACTTAACTAAAAATAATATTATATACTTTGTAGGTTCATAGGGGTCTTGTGAAACATCATATTGATGAAGCTCTTAAATGGGCAATTGAATCCAAAAAAATTGAAATGATTCATGAAAAATTCATGAGGACACGATTTCTTGATCTATGGCCTATTGCAAGAAAAAAGGATGCCCAAACACAAACGGATTCCATCTGTTCATTTGTTCAAAAGGAACGTACTGTGAGCTGTGAAAAGTATATGCGTTGCCCTCATTGTTCTCACAAGATCCGCTTAAATCAGTTATGGAGTGACTTATTTATGAAAAAAAGTTATTCGCGATATAGTGTCAAAGCCTCGAAGAAAAAATTATGCAAGCATTGTTTAAAAAAACAATGTAGAAGAAACCGTTATCATTCCTAATCCGAGTCTGGTTTCGTTATTTTTTTCATCTGCAGAAATATATATTTATGGTACTGCAAAAAAAGTTGGTTAAGAAAAAACGGTGTGAGCTATTATATAGTAGGACTAGACACTATAACACCCATCAACGCCGATGCATGAAGAAACAAAACTGTGGTAATGTCTAATGAATAGTGATGAAAATAAAAACAAAATGATCAAACCTTGAGGCGCACGATCATGGATCCAATAACGTAAAGTTTGTTGGAGTATTTTTATAAACTTAAGTATAAACATGAACAGTTTTCAGGTTTTTAAGTCAAACACAAATATTTTTGGCAAATAAATTTTTTTTAGAGCAACAATTGTCGTTTTCAATTAAAAGTTTCGAAAGACTGAGTTATAATGATTGGTGGGAATTATTTAGTCAAAGAGAGTTTGGAGCCAACGGTTTCTATGATAAAGTGTATCTGAAAATATTTATATGTATTATTAAATATGAAGCTAAAGTTTATGTTAAATTAAGAAGTTCAACTGATAGTTAGCAATTTTTCAAACAGCTGTGTTAGATCAAACCAGTAACAGACAAAAAAGCTTCCAGTTTTGACTTAATAGTGGGTTAACTCTTAAAACAACAATTACCAAATAAAAACTTAACAAGTTCAACTTATTTTCTTAAGTCATCTATCAAATTTAACTATATTCTAAGTCTATGGAAAATTGCAGAAATAATTATGATTCCTGAAAAATCAGGAAAATATATTCATATCGTCTCTTTCTATTGCTTAATCTCATTCCTCCACTGACAACAAAGCTATTTGAAAAATCTGTTTTTTCCTTTCTTAAACTCATTTTTAAGTCAAATGAAAATCTAATCATCGACCGAATTTGGATTTTGCAGTAAACACTCGACGATGGAACAGGTTCAACGACGAAATTTGAAGAAGCGATTTAGAAAAGTAAGTATGTTTTATAGTCTTTCTAGGTATAGCAATTGGCAATTTATTGCATGAAGATATAGTATATAAGTTATTATCTTGTCTCATATATCTTGCTCTGATCACAATGGAATTTACATAGACTCTTTTCATTAAATTTTTGTTTTCTTGTTTCCATTTGACTGCTTTCGAAAAACTACAAATTATATATCTCATTACCAGTAGCGAGGCGTCAGCTTTTTGGCAAGGTGTTCACAATTTAATCAAAACAGAATTCCCCCTACTCCTGAATTTGTCTTTCCACAAGCGAATAGCGTACAAGACCAACAAAACAATTTATTTAAATATTCGCAGCCTGTGATCCACTGGTTTTTATTTACCATAAAGCTGTAGCTGTAGAAAAACAGCGACTTACCACAGTTTTCGACATTTTTACATCAGGTATGAAATTCTTCATATTTGGAGTTGGTCTATTCATTTTATGAATTAAAATCTTTTTTTCAGAATATCGTTTAAAAAAAGATATTTGAATCAAATCTTTAATCACATATTTATCCATTTCTAAATATTATTTTTCACTTCAAATTTCTTTAATCTCTTTCTTTACTTTTACCATTTTCTAGTATAAAATTGCAATAATGACTGTTTTGATTTATTTTCAACCTCTATATAAGAGTAAGAAACTCTCATGCATTCATTTACTCTTTTACTTTGTATTTACAATGCCCGGTTCAGTTTTTATACTGAACCATTTCCCCATATAAAACAGCAACCGTGACTTTGATTGTATTTGCACGCTTTGTATGAACTTGCGTTTCAATTTAATCGATTGAACCTCTCGTCAAATGTAAAGCGATTTTCGCTCAGTCATTTCTTTTCTCTTTTGTACTTATTTTGCATAACATTGGAGGTTCACTTTTTTTATTGAACCGCTTGCACGCATTAATTTAAGAGTTATGATTATTTTACGTACATATTTTGCGGGGCTTGTTTTCTCTTTTATTTTTATATTTGTTTGTATGTTTTGTGTTGTGTATTCAATATTGAACATAGTCCCAATGTGAATGTTATTTCATTTGCATGCTTTGTAAGCAACGCGGAGCATTTTTATTCTGAACCTAAGTATATTTTAAGAGGAATGTGTTTTCTCTTTTATTAATTATAAGTAATGTTGGGTGTAACTAACATTTGTATGTGTGATTTTGTTTGTATTATACGTTTTGTGTTTATGTTAATATGTTTGGAAAAGCTTTTATAAAAGATGTTAAATAGCAAAATAGCGAGATTATTTACCTAATAAAAAAAAAATCTAAAAAGGAAGCTTTGTTAAGGTGTTAAGTGAACACTCTGAACCATTCGACGCCTCTGCTCATTACTATATCAAATTAGCTGGAATTTTTGGATTTTTCCGTTTTTTGGATTTTCACGAACTTTCACGAACGGACTTTTTTTAGTTCCTCTGCATGAAAGTGAAGTAGGATAGGAGGAAATGATCTAATTGAATATATTTTTGCGTTGATGTCGTATATTCCAAACAAATCTATTAAATTTAGCAAGAAAAATATTAGACGGCTTTTGCAGTTACGGTTCATTGAGTTAAGGATGGTGTATTTTTAAAAAATACCATACGCAGAAATAGACTTATTACTTGCAAATTACCAGCTGCTGTGAAGAAAGAGGTTTCTAAAGTACACAATAACAATGGATGGTGTAAATATCTTTTTTCTAGTCTGGAAATATAAAAAATATATTAGATTTATTTCGTCACAAACAGGAAACGCGCGAATATTGTATCACTTGATCAACTTTAAAGTGGGTAACGTACATTGATTATGTAGAATTTTGTTCCAATTGCTAAAACAGAAAGACTAAGTGGTAGTGAATCTCAATTAAAAACGAACCCGAAGAAAGCACTTAGACACATTTTGTTCCAATAAAAAATATTCAGGAGGACCAGTTCGATCATTGGCCTACACATAACCGATTTATTTTTTCCTGCAATTATCATGTAAGCACCGAAATTTAGGGCGTAAGCTCATATTATTTTCCAGTGTAAACTATCAGTTTTTCTACACGCAGACTTTTGACAGACTAGATCCAGTAAACTGATGAAAATCTTTCTACAGGAGTTTGTTTTTAATTTATTCAATTAATCTGAGAAATCACCCATTGCAATATTTCTAAAGTTATTGTTTATTATATATGTATTATGAAATATATACCAAATCAAATACTTTGGCTATGATATATTCTTTTGCGGGAATTATTAAAAACGCTTAAGATAGATGTTCTAAACTAGTGCATACTTTTAGGCGGCGACTCCGAAATGTATAAGAAATTAACTAACACTGTCAGTTGGAAAAATATCTCAACTGTAAATATTTAAAAATAGTTTACCGAGATACGGGTCTTAATATTTAATTAGAGGATTTCAAAAAGAAATTTTGGTAAGATTGGTTTATGTCAGGAAGATGTTAGAATTAAAAAATATTTGGCTATACTGTCGAGCAACTATGGCATAAAAATAGCTGTATGAGAACTTAAAATGATAATACAAAATAGAAATATTGTTGGAATGAAATTTTTTTATTATAATCTGGTAGATAATTTCTTGGAACTATTTTTTGAATATGATTTTGGGCATATTTCCGCCGCGGTTACGAGTTGCATGGTCAATTCGATCAGTCCAATTTTTGAATATTTTTTGCAATATATTTTCCCATAGGGCCACATGTTAATGGTGGCATGAACATTAAATTCCAGTGCTTCAAGATTGCTGGTTTGTCCTTCTTTTTTTTTTAATGGGAGAAAAGCTCGAAAGCCTAGTGGGGGATTTCAATCGCCTCATAAATTTGTGTACATAAACCAAATTGTCGCACTTGTCGTAGCCCCATAAAAAGTAATCGAGAGGCAATAAATTGTAAAACGAGGAGCCCATTTAACAGGACCACTACTGGAAATAAAGTTGTTACCAAATTAATTTCGCAATAAATCGATTGTTAAGCGTACTGTACGAGTATGGTAATTTGCGCCGTCTTTTTAGAATCAAATGTCGTTAATGTTTAACTGAATAATTTTTGGAAATTTTTGACAAAAATTTAATCAGCATGGCTCGATAGCGCTCGTCATTTACCAAAACGGCAGATTCTTCCTCATTTCAAAAGAAATAAGGACCAATGATACCATCAGCATGTTAACCGCTCCAAACAGTTCATTCAGTTGATGGGTTTGATTTGAGAAGAGTAAAATTAGTGCGAAAACTAACAATAACTGCACGAATTGCTTACTCACTAAACCGATTATCTTTACCGTAAAATTGACTAAGTGTTCTATGAACTTAACGAACAGATTTATGAACGTATGTCGAATATTTTATATGAATATTTAGGTATAAAAAACTTTCGGCAAGATGGGTATAGGCCCCGCGTTTCCCCATTGACCAAATTGACCAAAAACGACAACGACTTCATCTTTCAAAACATTGTTTGAAAATGTTTATGCACCATTTAACTGACTGTGAGCTAGTAAAGTCGAAAAGTGACAATTGATGAAACATGGATCCATTATTTCAGATCTGAGGGAAAAGAACGCAACAAGACATATAATGGGTAGAGTCCATTAACCGGGAATAGTGCTCCCAAAACGACCACGAACTCAACAATCGACCGGAAACGTTGTGGCTTCCGTATTTTGAGATTCAAGTGGAATAATTTTCATAGACTATTTGGAAAAACGAAAAAGGAAAAAGAATAACTTCAGACTACCATTGCATATCATTGAATAGATTGAATGAGGTAATCAAGAAAAAATTACCACATTTGTTGAAGAAAAAAATTTTGTTTTTGCAGGATAACGCACCCGCTCACTCATCAATGAAACCCATGTCAAAATTAAATAAATTACGGTACTAATTGCTTCCTCACCCACCGTATTCTCCAGATTTGTCTCCCAGTGACTACTACCTGTTTTTAAGCTGGAAAAAATGGAAGTTAAAACAAAATTAAACAAAAAATAAAAAGCAAAAGAAAATTAAATTAAATAAAAAAAAAATATAAAAAAAATTAAGTAAAATAATAAATAATAACGTAATGAATATTTAATTAAAATAATAAGAAAATAAAAATAAAATTAAAAAATATAATAACGAAATAAAAATAAAGTTAAAATACAATGAAATTAAAATAATATTGAAATAAAGTTAAAATAAAATTAAAACAAATTAAAAACAAAATAAAATTAAATGTAAATAAAATAAAAATAAAATGATTTGGAAACACAAAAAATAATATGAAATAAAACTATATAACAAAATTAAAATTAAATAAATTAAAGGTGTTGAAAAATTAAATAAAAACAGGAAAATAATGCATATTGTATATGTCTTAAGTTAATAATGTTAATATACTTGAAAATTTTAA